TTCTCTCTCTGTTCTCTCTCTCTCTCTCTCTCTCTCTCTCTCTCTCTCTCTCGCTCTCGTTCTCTCTCTCTCTTTGTTTCTCTCCCACTCCCCTACTCTCTCTCTTTGTCTCTGTCTACCCAGAAACAAGTGTCACTGCAAGACCGTATGTCAGACGTTGTATACGTTAGCATAACCGCGTCACTCTGTTCTCTCTACACGTAATACACTCTAGATCTGCGCCGTACTCGCATCTCACGCTGTTCGTAAAAGCTCCTAATTATGAGTAATCCCTTATCACCATGCAGTCTCGTTTCAGATTTCCGAAAGTCTTTCAAAAATTTGCGCGAAATATTAAAAAAAGAAAAACGTGGATATTTTTTTAGAGTAAGTTCTACTGTTCATTGCGAGGGATTAGGGTTTCGGTAAAACTTGCTAAACGTAGGTGGCGCTGGTGCGGTGGGGGTTGTACTATTAACGTAGGTGGCGCTGGTGCGGTGGGCGCTCTACTAATAATGTTAAGTTGGGTTTACACTACCGACTTTGTGGTGGCGAATTGGTGAGTTGGACCAACTTCCCAAATGTACAACTAGTACAGTAGATTAGAAAAAAATCGCTTCAAATTGTGAAAAAAGTATGAAAATTGGTACACTTGCATACTTTTGTATGCTGCTTTCATTTAAAAGCAGGACACACGCGATCCAACTACAACTTCGGCCGCCATCTTGAATTTAAAAATGGCCGCGTTATTTTTAAAAATGCTATATCTCGGTTAATAATCTTCATACAGGACTTGAAAATTGACTGACAAGACGTAATTTGGGTTACTATTTCATACAACAACGTGATGCATGGATCCAAAGGCTGTTTTCGGCCGGCATGCTTGAATTCAAAAATGGCCGCCGTCATTTCTTAAAAATAGCTATATCTCGCTTAATAATCTTCGTACAGACTTGAAAATTGACTGACAGACGTAATTGGGTTACAATTTCATACAACAACGTGATGCTTGATCCAAGGGCGTTTTCGGCACCAATCTTGAATTCAAAATGGCCGCGTCATTTCTTAAAAAATTGCTATATCTCGGTTAATGAATCTTCATACAGACTTGAAAATTTACTGACAGACGTATAATTTGGGTTACTATTTCATACAAACAACGTGATGCAGTGGATCCAAGGCGGATTTAAAATGGCCGCCATACAAATTACAAACTTAGCAATATTCGTTCACGACGAGAAGATATAGAGACGTGAAAATATTGCCGACTGGCGCAGGTTAATACCCATCCGGCCAAGTCGACACGTGCCGTATCCAACACGCGCGTTGGAAAACGATGGGAAAACACGCATTTTATCGTGGAGCTTCTAAACACGCATTTTCAACGTGCCGTTCTTCAAGTAAACGCGACGCTGTACACAAGCAGTTCAAAACTCTACGCGCGCGAAGCGACGCACGCACGCAACACGTAACAGATAGCTGAAGTAGCCCGCCCCGCGAGAACGCACGCACGCACATAACAGATAGCTATATACGCGCACGAGCACGCACGCACATAACCAGAAGCTATATACGCGCGCGAGCACGCACCGCACATAACAGGGTACGCTATACGCGCGCCGAGCACGCGACGCACATAATCAGGTACCTAATACGCCCGGCGAAGAACGCACGCATCCACGCACATAACAGATAGCTATATATACGCGCGCGAGCAACGCAGCAGCATAAACAGGTACCTATACGCCCGCGAGAACGCACGCACATAACAGATAGCGATACGCCCGCGAGCACGCACGCACATAACAGGTACCTATACGCCCGCGAGAACGCACGCACGCACATAACAGATAGCTATATACGCGCGCGAGCACGCACGCACATAACAGGTACCTATACGCTCGCGAGAACGCACGCACAATAACAGAAGCTATATACGCGCGCGAGCACGCACGCAAATAACAGGTACTTATACGCCCGCGAGAACGCACGCACAATAAGCAAAAGCTGATATACGCGCGCGAGCACTCACGCATACATAAACAGGTACCTATACCCCGCGAGAACGCACGCACATAACAAAAGCTATATACGCGCGCGAGCACGCACCGCACAAAACAGGTACCTATACGCCCCGGAGAACGGCACGCACGCACATAACAGAAGCTATATACGCGCACGAAGCACGACGCACATTAACAGGTACCTATACGCCCGCGAGAACGCCGCACATAACAGAAGCTATATACGCGCGCGAGCACGCACGCACATAAACAGGTACCTATACGCCCGCGGAAACGCACCACGCACATAACAAAAGCTATATACGGCGTGCGAGCACGCACTGCACATAACAGTACCTATACGCCCGCGAGAACGCACGCGCACGCACATAACAGATGAGCTATATACGCGCGCGAGCGAACCATGCACATAACAGGTACCTATACGCCCGCCGAGAAGAACGCACGCACGCACATAACAGATAGCTTATATACGCGCCCAAGCACGCACCCACATAACAGATAGCTATATACCGCGCGCGAGCACGCATGCACGCACATAACAGATACCTATACGCCCGCGATAACGCACGCACCATAACAGATACTATACTGTACCATACAGTAGTACTATATTTGTTGTGTTGTGCAGGTACATGTTACCGCACTGAGTGACAATCTGCGACAACTGTGGACAATGCAGTTTCGAGACATTTGTTTAACTTAAACAATAGTATTATTTAGCTTGCCATGCATGTTCTTGTGTACGTAGTACTACAACCTTGTTGTATGGAATTATCTCTCTCTCAACTGGGGATTCCAGATTGCCAGTTTGGGCATTGTGTTTGTTATATACTGAGAAAAAAATCGGTAATTCAAGCATTTTCACCATGTTTGTTTGTATTCTGTTATCTATGTCATTTTGATCATTTGAAGTACAGAGTAAAGAATGTGATGGCGGCCATGTTGAATTCAATATGGGGCCGACTTGTAATTATAATTGGAAGCTTGTGTGCCTGTTTTAATATGAGAGCTTATTAACTCTGCGCCAAGTCTGCAAATTTTCACGTCTCTATATCTTCCGTGAACGAAAAAATTGCTAAGTTTGTAATTTTTATGGTGGCCATTTTGAATCCAAGATGTGGCCAAAACGCTCTGTGATCACATGCATCAACGTTGTTGTATGAAATAGTAACCACAAATTACGTCTGTCAGTAAATTTTCAAGTCTGTACGAAGATTATTAACCGTAGATATAGCTAATTTTTTTAAGAAATGACGGCGGCCTTTTGAATTTAAGATGGTGGCCGAAAACGCCCTGATCACAGTGCATCATGTTGTTGGTATGAAATAGTAACCGCAAATTACGCTGTCCAGCAATATTCAAATTTGCTACGAAGATTTTAACGGAATAGTACTATTTTTTTAAGAAATGACGCGGCCATTTTTGAATCAAATGGCGGCCGAAAACGCGCCGTGCATCACATGCATCACGTTCCGTTTGTTATGAATAGTAACCCAAATGTACGTCTGTCAGGTCACATTTTCAAGTCGTGTATGAAGATTATTAACACGGATATAGCTATTTGTTTAAGAAATGACGGCGCCGAATTTTATGAATTCAAGATGGCGGCCGGAATTGTAGGTGGATCAGCGTGTTCCTGCTTTTAATGAAAAGGCATAACAAAAGTATGCAAGTGTACCAATTTTCACGACATTTTTGCACATTTTGGAACGATTTAGAATGATATTCTGACCTAAACCGAACTGTACTAAAACCGACAATCGGCAGTGTAACACAAAAGTTTGGCGCGACCGAACCGATCGATAGCAACTAGTTTGGGAGATTAGAACATTTCTATTCTCGCCAACTTGGAGTTTATTTTTTGTTTTTTGTTTTTTTTTTTTTTTCCGGATTGCGAAATTGGTGCCAACTCGCAAATCGCCAACATGAAGTGCAGTGTAAACCCAGCTTTAGGGGCGTGAAGAACTAGGAGTCGCATAGACTGTCGCCACGTTGCTAACGTTGTTGACGTCGTTCGTGTGAGAATGCGAGACGGGACAGTCCTCGAGCGTTGTCGTTGACAAGCGCTGCGACAGCATCGCTGTAGGGTGACACTGAGGGCGTTCATTATACCTGCCTACCTCAACATCGCCAAATGGTGCGTGTCCACAGGCCTACATACTAACATGGGTCACAGTGACGCTCATAGGGTCTATGGTCCCGCCTGCAGGGTAGCTATCGAAGGGTACCGCTGGTACGGTTGACTATATGCGGAACGTACCTGGAACTATCTGACATGGTTAGAGTTAGGGTTAGGGTTAGGGTTAGGGAGTAGGCGTAGGCGACTTCCCCCCTAGACTCGTTAGTGGGTAGGGCTAGGACGGTGTGGCATATTAAGATAGTAACGCAGGGTACGTTCCGATATTCGAAACGCAGTAACCGGGTACCCTCCGATAGCTCACCCTGGGGACATAAGACGCCTCTCAGCTACAGTGACCTGTGTTCAGCTTTTTGTGTGTATAATGTAAGAATAATGACAATTGGAGATCGCGTGACTCTATAACACTGCTATGCGTGACAACAAACACACTAAGCGTACGAACGAACAGTAGTGACGATAGACAATGAATGTAAATCGATATAAGTGTGCGTTGCTGCACGTTGAGCAGTGAGTAATGTTATAGACGCGCTTCTGCACTTGCCAGATTTGGAGGATGGTCTGGAAGGGGGTGGGGGTCCCTTCTTTCCAGTATATTTAGAAAAATTTTGAATTTTCAATATTGAAATGATGCTTTCTCGTGCATTCTGGCATTGCAAATTGCAATTGAGTAAATTGATAGTGGCTGCTGTATTAATAAGCTTAAACGAAATTTCTGGAAATTATTGGTGGACCAGTCCCCCGCAGTTCCTACAGGCCTGAGTACGTGACGATCATAGAAATAATATAGATAGACTCTTTATCTATTATTTCTATGGTGACGATAGACAGTGAATGATAACGGAGAATGAGTGACGATGGATGGGCAGAGACAGCGGTTGATGCTGCAGACGTTAGCAGCTGAGGTACGCACTGGAGCATCATGCTCACCCTCACCGATCCCACAGCCAACATAATTCTCTTCCACTCTCCCTCTCACCACTACCGTTCTACTCGCGCGATTAATTATTAATTAGCAATTAGTTACGAGTACTAATTGCTTTCGTGCTGCTTCCCATTGCCTGCCTGCCCCCACCTGCCGCCGCTGCTGCCGCTGCTGCTGCTGCTACAGGGACAGAGTATCTTCTGGACGTGGAAAGACAGTGAAGAGCAACACAATATATTGCACGTGCAGCCGGGAGAGGATGGGGTGAGCGATCGGTTACCGTGACGAGGTCGGCCGGGGGAGGGGAGGGGAGGGAGGGAGTGGGAGATCAAGGGGGAGGGGGTAATGCAGATGCGGATCCAGGGGGCACTGGGCGTTGCCCCCCACTAGAATTTTCAGGGCAAGGGTAGTTTTAGCCTAACACCCTCCCCCTCAGTGCTTCGTGCGCCCTTGAGCTCGCATTGATTCGCCCCCCCCCCTAGAATTCAACTTCTGGATTCCGCCACGCGGCGTGAGGGTGGTGGAGTAGCAACAGCAAAGGAATTAAAGATGCTTTCCGCGAAATATTCAGAACGGGCCAAACATAAAATAGGCAAAAATGAATTATTTTAACATTGCACGTTTGTATACTTGCCTATATATGTGGGATAGTTAAAAAATGCTCGGGAATACGTTCATTCAAAGCTTTTAGACTACAACGTGAAAGTGCCGGGTCGAAAACAGTGTTTACTTTTTTTTTTTTGCCGCTACTGCGCGATGTTGTGACGTATACTCCGTCATCAATAAATAAGCCTTTTACACAGAACCGGCGCGTTATACACGAACCGCGGCGAAAAGCGGATTTTGGAGCTATATTTGGATTTAGGATTATGGATAGGATTTAGGATTTAGTAAATATTTCGATTTTTGAGTTATATATAATTGAGCAAATATAGGCTTGCCGTTTAGCCGTGGTTTAACAATGAACAACTCGCACCGGAAGTGGAGATTTAATATTGGGGGATTTCAAATAAATACGTTTATTTGAAAAAGGTGCCACATGACAGAAACTCACGTAAATAAATACTTGGACATAAATACAAACCAGAATTTAGTTTTGTTTTGAATCTGAGAAATGATCCCCGGTTATAGGGGCTTTTAAAGTGGATTACGTCAACCGTAATAAAAAAGTATTCATGTTCACGATTTTTATGGTTAAATTCTGCATTATACTTCTTATTTTAGCTATATTGTTCGATGTGAACATACACTCGTGGACTTCATACATAGCCCAAGCAAGCAATTAATTCCAGGAACAGCAAATATCAAAATCGTCCAGGTTTTTTGGTTTTTTAACTATTGAGAAAACAATTTTATCAGGTAAGAATTTGACGTACGTTTAGTCCCGTTAAGTTTCTTACTTTTAATGTAAAAAAATGGCAACAAAAACTTCTTTTACCATAGAAAATTCGTGACGTAGTCAATTTAACAAACTATACCTGCCCCTTATGGGCGGGGAAATTGCCGTTTTTAACAGCAAGGAAGTGTTAAATTCTCCCGCCTTTTCCCGGGGGTCGGGGGGGGGAGCTGGAGTTTCAATTGACTGGTGCATTAGAGCCTTCACCCGTCAGTGTGCGAGCAGAGTTCAATATCTGTTTCAGTCCCCGCAGACCGTTGTTCAGGGCGCCCTGGCGTTCAACAGCGGCAAGGCCGTGGCCAACAACAACTTCCTCTACACGTTCCTGTCGGAGGGCGTGTTCAGCGTGACGTCACACGGCAGCCCGGGCAAGCTGGGCACGATAAGGGTGCTCGACAAGGGTATGTGAAATGTCTCCTGCTGCTGCTTCTTTTTATGTTTTAGTTATATTTTTCTTCTCTGTTGTCTTTGCTTCTTCCTCCTGATTCCATCTACTTCTCTGTCTTTCCCTCGCCGCGCTGCCTCCTCCTCTTCATCTTCCTCCTCTTCCTCCTCCTCATCTTCCCTCCTCCCCATCTCCCTGCTCCTCCTCCTTTTTGTCCTCTTCATTCTCCTCGTCAGATGAGGGCACGGACACTGGTGACGTCAGCGAGACACTTGGACGTCAGCGGGCACTGGTGAACGTCACGGACACTGGTGACGTCACGGACACTGGTGACGTCACGGGCCGACTCTGCTCTGTCCTGATTATGAGGCGTTACATTTTGGCTGTGAAGCTCTGATTGATGATGTACGTCACAAGTGTGTGTGCGCGCTGAGCGCGCATGTACGCGCGTATGTGTTGATGTGTGTGGTGTGACCTGTCAACGCGTGACCTTGAATATAACCTTGAATGACTGTCGGTCGCCCACCTGCTGCGTGTTATTTGTCGTTTATCGGTGGCAGGCGTCAGAACTACGGAGCCCCGCATCACGCACGGCGGCAACGGCGGACTCGTGCGCATACCGCACATCGTACTCATCACGTCCGAGACGCCCGGTGTGAAGATCTACTACACGACCGACGCAGCCTGCCCGGAAGTCTGCAACCCCGCCATCCGGGTACGTCGCCGCGCGAGCGCGTCATCACGTGACCGGGGGGCTTTGTCGTTGCCGCAAGAGTGTGCAGAAGCTTATAATTAATTAATAATTAATTAATTATTTAATTAATAATTTCGATATTTAATTAATTATTTAATCAGTGATTTTAATTATCTGAGCACGGCAACGGTCACGCGATCTTACCACGCGGTGGGATGGGACGGCCGCGTCTGCGCGTTTTTGTTTTTGTTTGCGTTTTGGTGCGTTTTTAGTTGTTGTTCGTTTGTCAATTTTTAAATTCATGATGAAATTTCTTCTTCTTCTTCTTCTTCTTTTTTTTCTTCTCGGGTCACTATAGTAGTTCACGGTATTCATTAGTAGTGAATGTTGTAAGACCGTTGGACGAGAGATTATATATATATATATATATATACATATGTATATATAATATTAATAGTATATATACATATGTGATATATATGTGTGTTTATATAGTATATAAGTAATAAATATATATTATATATATATATTATCAAGAGCTAATAATACCTAGAGTGTACAACAGAAAAAGCGGACAAATAGTGGCTATTGTCACGACAACATTATTCTAGCTTTTGCCTGCGAGTCTATAATAATTCATAAGTATTGCGATAAGCAGAAATTCTTGTGCTCTCTAAAAACAAGACCAATCCGGCTTTGTCAATACGATACTCCTAGGCGAGAATATCGGCTCCTAAAGCCATCCCTCCCACCATGCCAAACGCACGCCTCGAACCACTTCTGTCCCCACCTTTCACGGCGGCTAAGCGTTTGCTTCGTGAGAGTTCGGGTTTTTCCGCCATAATGTTTATGAATGATTTTCGGGTGGCAGGTGCGAGGTGGAGGTGACTTTCGGGCATCGGCCTATGCCCTTATCTCCCATTATGCTTTTCCTAGCACGGGCTAATGCCCGTCATGATGGAGGCCGGCAAGTGTTTTTTTAATTAAGTCTCTAAAAACGCAGCTTAGTAAGAGTACCAAATTTGGCATGTGACATCAATTAATCCAGCGCTCCAAGCGGTGAAGGAAACCGAATAGCCGAAATTGCTTAGACGCGTGAAGGATGGGGACGAAGTGGATTCGAGGCGGCCGTTGCATGTGGGAAGGGGAGGTTTAGGAGCCGATAAGTCTCGCCTAGGATATCGTAGTGACAAGCGGTTGGTCTTGTTTAGAGGCAAAGATATTCTGCTTAATGCAATACCATGGAATATTATAGACTCGCAGGCAAAGTAGAATAATGTGTCGTGAAAATAGCACTATTTTTCCGTTTTTCCGTTGTTACATCTAGTATTGGATTAGCTCTTGATTATATGATATATATATATAAGTATATATATAGAGAGAGAGAGAGAGAGAGAGAGAGATGTTGGTATGCTAAAAGGTGTGTAATCGTGTGATTTTATTAGCATCAGTAATGCGCGAACGATGTAAGTTAGCTGCACAGATAACAACAACAAGTCGATAAGTCCTCAGATATCAACAAAAAGGCAATTACGTGCGCAGACGCTCTCTCGTGCATCGTGTCGTGCGTGCGTGCGTGCGTGCTCGTGCGTGCGTGCGTGCGCGCTTCGTGTGCGTGGCTCGGTGTGCGTGATCGTGCGTGCTTGGCGTGCGTGGCTTGTGTGCAGTGCGTGCGTGCGTGCCGTGCGTGCGTGCGTGCGCGCAGTGCGTGCGTGCGTGCGTGTTGCAGGCGTGCACGATTTCAGCATAGATGAAACGGAAACGAAGGTTTAATAATGCCTATCTCGTCTTTCTCTCTTGCTCTCTCTCTCATCTCTCTCTCGTCTTCTCGTCCTCTCATCTCTCTCTCGTCTCTCTTCTCTCTCTCTCTCGTCTCCATCTCTGCTCTCCGCTCCTCGCCCTCTCTCCGCTCTCTCTTCTGCTCTCTCGCTCTCTCTCTCTCCTCTCTCTCTGTGGTCCTCTCTCGTCTTGCCTCGGCTCTCTCTGTCTATCTCTGTCTCCTAAATACTTCTCTGTCTCTTCTCATCTCTTTCTCTTCTGTCTCTTCTATTCTTCCTCCCTCCCCTCGCNCAGGAAGATTATATACTAACAGTATATTACTATTTTGAAAATCAGCGCGATTTAGCCGGGCAATTTGCCAGTTGGCACTTGCTCATAATGTAGGATCATCTACGGATTTCACTTAGTTAAGCTGTAAAACAGTATGATTAGAGTCAAATCCTAAATGAATATTAGTACTTTAATGCATAGCTCTTATCACCTCGTTACCACTTTTGTCATTCGGGAATTTGTCATCGAAGCTTTATTTTATTAATCACCGCTGGGTATTATATAAATTAGTTTATATCATATTTGTCTGTTTTGTTTACGCGACCATTTTATTAACATAGCTTGGAGAGAAGGAAATGATGGGAGCACCAGATTTTTAGAGAATATTATATAATATTAATTAATCTTTTTAGCACTTTACCTTTGACAGGTACGAGTTCACTTTGCACTTTATATACGCTGGGTAGTATATACGGAAGGGGACGTGTGGAGCGGAATGAGAAGCAGGATATGTTCGGTATTAGGGTATAAAGTCCTGGAGACCTGTTTTATATCCAGAATCATGCGGCGGGGCTGCGAGCGGCGCGGACGATTACACAGTTAAGCCTTCGGTGCGTAACCATACATACAACAATCGGATTATTCCTCCAGATATCGACTATAAGAATTCCAACGTTCCAGGATACATACTTCCTCTTGGTGTTGGGTACTTATGCTTGTGGCGTGGCGGTGCGGGTTTGGGGGCGTGCGGTTGCTTCGTTTTTGCGTGCTCGTGTCGTTACGTCTGCTGGGTGCGTGCGGTGCGTCGTGTGTCGCGCGTGCGGGCGTGCTGCGCTGCGTTGCGTGCGTGCGGCTGTGAGTTTTCAAGGCGCACATTTTCATAGGCCAATAAGATGGAACCGAAAGGACAGGTTATAATGCCTATCTCTCTTCTTTCTCTCGGCGCTGGTGAGCTCGATCTTCTCTCTCTCTCTGCTCTGCTCTCTCTCTCTCTCTCTCTCTCTCTCTTCCTTTCTCTTCTGTGTCTCACTCTGCGTCCCGTCAGCTCGATCGCTCTCTCTGCTCGGTCTCGATCATTTCTCTCTTCCTATCTTTCTCTCATCTCCTGTCTCTCTCTCGTCTGCTGCGTACGCTCTTGTCTCCTCCCCTCTCTCTTCTTCTCTCTCTCTCCTCTCTTTCCATCATCTTCTTGTCTCTCGTCTCTTCCTCTCTCTTATCTCTTCTATCCTGGTCTCTTCTTCTCGAAGTCGGCTCTTCTCTCTCTCTATCTATCCTCTCTATCTCTCCTCTTCCTCTCCGTCTCTTTCTCTCTCTCTCCCATGATGACATATTGCATGGTGAACACACGGCAGGTGTACCACGAGGAGCACGGTATTGGGCTGGAGACGCCCATGCTCGCCTTCATCAGGGCCATGGCCGTCAGTCAGAGTCTGCGAGATAGCAGGATGTTCGTGCTCATGGGAGTAAGGGTCAGCTACCTGTAACACACCTTGCCCTTCGCTCGAGCCTTTCTCATCTATATCTTGTGTGAAGTGCTTCTTTATCAAAATGAAGTCTAATTTAATGGGTAGCACATGGAAAAAGTTTGGTGCTTTTATTCGGAATGTCCCCATCGTTTTGTTTAGCTACCTGATACTGTGCCATATCCTTACTCACCAACTCCCGTTTCCTTAAACCATTCCTTTCCCTCTCACTCGCTTGCCAACCTCCTACTTCCTTTCTTTCATATCTTCCTCACTTTTAGTCGAACCTTCTCTTAACGTAGTCCCCCCCCCCCCACACCCTCTATGCTCCTACTCTGTCTTTTTTTCTTAATTTCCCCTCTCGTCAAAACTTCGCCACATCTTACACAGCTCCTTTTTTCCTCTCCTCCCATCACCGCCATCCTCCTCCCGCCTGCCTATCCTATACTTTTCATATTTCCTTTCTCTTTGTCACATTACACTCGACAACCGCCTATCGTCTGAGCGATATCTTGTATCTTGGATCTTGGATCGTCTGCGAATGTGCTTGTGAATGACCGATGACGTAATGCCGGTGTCACATGATTGCAGGTGCTATCACGTGATCACCGACGTTCCCAGCCTCACGCAGGAAGAGATCGACAAGAAGATGGCACTAGATATGCTAGAAGTGAGTGACGTCTACACATTTGTTACATTATATTTTTAATGTTTACGTTTTAAATTTTACTTCCTTTGCACGCCGCCCCGCTCTCCCCCCCAAATGGCATTAGTTAGTCAAATGAAAAAAAGTATATTGAAAATATCTCTCTTCTGTACTACACTCAGCAAACATGGCGTGCTGTGTGCGTGTCGTGCGGTGTGCAGTGCGTGTGCGTGCGTGTGCGTGCCTGCGTGTGCGTGCGTTGTTGCGTGCCTGCGTGTTTGTGTGTACGAGTGTGTGCGTGCTCGTGCGCGCGTGTGGCGTGCATGTGTGGTGGTGTGTTTGTGTGCATGCACGCGAGTGCATGTAGCGTGCGTGTGGCGTGCGTGTGTGTGCGAGTGTGTGCATGCGCACGCGCGCCAAGGCAATAAAAGGCGTATAAGAGGTAATAAAAGGCAATAAAACACTAACATATATACTGCACCAAATAAGTTAGCGTATGAACAGCGCTGCTTCAACACGGTGACAGTATGTTGGTTGTGGTGAGACGATGGGTTGCTGAAGATAGTAGGAGAACCTACTGCTCCAACTCAACCTTTATTAAGAATTAGCGATCTGTATAAACTTGCAAAAAACCAAGTCTGAACTAACTTCATTGAAAAATTAATGTACCTTGTTGAATGTACACATGACTGAAGGTCTTCCCTGATTTGCAAGTCCACTCTGCTGAATGCACTCCTGGTTGTATGTGCAAAAAAGGTCGTCATTTCATTTCCATGGCGTGTTGTGTAGCTTCAACTCGAGTTTAACGCCTATAGCGTTGATGTTTTTGTCCATCCTGCGTTGCTATCTCGCACGCCACGCGTAGCACATGCGCAGGCCTCTATCAACATATGAAACGTAGCTAGACTCTGCAAACGCTATATATATATAATAATCCGGCCCTCTAATGACAACTAGGAACATGCCGAAAGAAGCTAACACCAAAACCATTATAAGAAGTCTCGTTCGTGCATCTATAAACCGACCTCATGACCTGTTGCAATACAACGAAACGCCTGAGTATATATATTTATATCGTACGCAAACAGCCACGTCCATACAACTGTCGTCCACACCACACACAGACGTCGCACGCGCGACGGCACGCGCACAGCAGACGCACAGACCGCAGGATCGCCAGACGCAGACACATGACACACCGACAGCCACTAGACAACACGAGCAGAAACACGATCAGGCAATCACACACACACACACACACTACACCACACCCACACGACATGCATACACACACACACACACACTACACACAACAACACACACACACACACAACACACACCCAGCACACACACACAGATCCACACACACCACACCCATACACCAACACATACACACACACACACACATTACACACACACATCATCACACAACAACGACACACACCCACACCCACACACACACACACATCACACACACAAACACACACACACACGAACACACGGATATTGTATTTTCCCTGATTGTTCTACAAAGTGACACGGGACAGTGTAAAAATATTTGGCTACGAATAATAAAATAATCCATCAGCACCACTTGTCATGTACACTACAATCCATGCCCCCTCCCACACAGCACACGCACACACGTAGTGCCTGCTAATATTGTAATATTGGTTAGTAATCTCCTTCACTTATATAATGGTTGCAAACATTTGCAGAAAAAGAGCGAGAATGGTGAAACTCCGCCGAATAATCAAGCGGACGTACAGTCCAGGTATCATGAAGTGTTTTGGGATAACATCAAGCGCAAGCACCTACCACAGATCAAGGGATATAAGGTACATGTAAAATAATGTATACAAGAAACGCGTATAAGAATATACATTAAGTATGTATGTATGTATTGTAAGCATGCCATCATTGCATGCGATGATTATGATGTATTATGTTATGTATGTTATTATTATTGTAATATGTATGTATTACGTTTATTAATTATGCTTATAATGTAATGGTCGTTTTATAAGTATAATATTTGTCCTAAAATTTTATTGAAATCAGGATAAAAAAGAAAAAAGTTATGGATATTACAATTATTAACCATTAACTCCGTGAAAAATGATAAGTAAATCAAAATAATCGAGTCTAATAGTGTGACTAAACTTCATATATATGATATTGAGTAGATATTGACACAAAATCAGTCAAAATATATCTTTTAACGATATTATATGTATATTTCACCCAGATATACCGATAGAAAACATTCTAAGCTATCTAGCTATTTCAATTAAAATCACAAAAATGTCATGCCTGTATAGTTAGAACCACACATAGCGTAAAATCTATATGTGCGACTTCTGACTCATTTGGCTATAAAGGGTCACTTCTATTTGTAATAATATCTATTTTAAGTATAATATTGTTATAATAATAATAATAACCACACTATCCACCCTGCTAGACTAAATAATCTTGAAACCATCGTTAATGAGCGACCATAGCTGGAATAAAACTAAATTAATAAATTAATGAACTAGTAAAATTTATTAATAAAAAATCTTAATTATTAACGAGCTTAAAACTTTTGAACAGCTTAAAAATTAAAAGCCGGAACGTACTACACTGGTTTGCTTCATCCCTCCCTCCCCAACCACCTTATTTGACTCAATCGTCTACAGTTATCGTGAATAAGTTTTTAAATAATTATTCGTGAATAAGTGAACATCTTGCTCGCAGTTCTTCATGAACAACTTCTCCTACACGCCTCTGCTGCCAAACACCTACACGAGTCTGAACGTGTCCGGCATGGCTGGAGGCAGGAACTACCAGATGCAGCTGATCGTATACCCGGTCAACAGCGACTACTACAACGTCGAATCAAACATGCTGGTACTGTAGTCTATCATCATCATCATCATCATCATCATCATCATCATCATCATGCATCTATATTCATCATCATCCTCATCATCAATCATTCATCATAATCACACATATTCATCATCATCATTCATCATCATAAAACATCTCACATCATACATCATAAACATCATCAAATTTCATCATTATCATCACATCCTTCGGCATTGTCATGCGTCATCGTCATTCATCATCGTTATCATCCATCTGCGTCCGTCGCGTCGTCGCGTCTCGTCGTCCTCGTGCGTCGTCAATCACACATCATCACCACATGTCATAGTCACAACCAAACAAGTAGGGCAGTCAGTAAATGCTCGGCTGACGCCGACGGTGTGTGTGTGCGGTATGCGGCGTGCGTGCACGGCGTGCATATGCGTCGGCGGCGTGCTTGCAGCATGAGGTGCTGCTGCGTGTGATTGTGTTTGCATGTGTGCGTGTGCTCCTGTCATATCTGTGTGTGTGTGTTACAGGGCATGGGCACGCCCGTGGAGACCGAGGGAGGCGGTCCTGTCATATCCGTGGAGGTCGGTGACGTCACCACGACCCTCGTCATCGTCTGGAGTACGCAGTCTCTACAGCACCTCGGCTACATCGTCTACCTGAACAAGGCCCCTATAGGTGACAAGGTATGAGAGCTCGGATGACGTCATAAGTACACAGCGACGCATGCGCATGGCGCACCTCGATGCAGTGTTAAGCTTCTGGTGGTTTATAACAGCCTGTTCTGCTAGCATCTATGACAAATACAACATACGCATAAACGCTCTCTTATGACACTTTGTCATAGGAAGATTCTTCCTGTGACAAATATTGTTGTATGTGTTGTGCGCATCATAGGAGTTTAGGAGCGCTATTAGGAACGCAAGCACTGAATTTCGGCTGTAAAGCGGAACGAAGTTGACTCGCCAATATTTGTAATAAGAAGAATCTTCCTATGACAAATAGTGTCATAGGAGAGCGTATATGTGTATGTCGTATTTGTCATAGATGCTAGCAGAACATGTTGTTTATAAACCAGGGGTACGTTGTCAGAAACATTATATTATATATGTAGTTGTGATATCGTGATTTTAAAATGCCATAAATTTCAAAGATGTCTTCCCACCCACATTTTTGTAACAGAACACTGTAAAACGCAAGTAAATAACTCACTAGACTTTAACTGAACGTTAGCTTTGAAAATAAAACTGTAAAAATATGTATCAAGCCTATATTTGCTCAACGAAAAAACAACTCGAAAATCGCGGTTTCCCCGCGGTTCTGTGTAAAGGCTCATTTATTGATGACGACGTAATACGTCACAACATCGCCGCAGAGCGGCAAAAGTAAACGCTGTTTGAAACTTTCGACCTGAAACTTTCACTTTGTAGTCTAGAAGCTTTGAATGAACGTCTTCCCACGCAATTTTTTTTACCTATCACACATAATAATATAGGCAAGTACAAACGTGCAATGTTAAAATAATTCATTTTTGCCTAATTTCATGTTTGCCGCTTGAAGTTTCGTGGGAAGGCACCTTTAAGTAAAATCTCGTGCAAAAGATATAAGATTTTAAGCTCATGATAGTTCATAACTAATTCCGATATATTTCTGTCAGCTGGCATCAGAAAAGTGCAAGTAATAGGCGCGTCTTTGAACGTTGACGAGTGAAATCGTATCATCGCGTCCGTTTAACGGGTATTCGATGTTTATCGATTGATATGTTCAAGTCCAAACCGCTTATCTCTTCACATTGTAGCAGGAAAAGTATGGAAATCAGAGAATAGTCTAGACTTTTTTGGCCAAAAAAGGTCAGCGAACGATCCGAGTGAAATACACTAGCAATTATACGATAAGACCACGAGTGCGTAAAAGGGCTGGAGGCAATGAGAAATAATCTTTTAACGCAAGAAGAAAATATAATCTGCGATATAAATTGGATTACTTTTGCCGATCCTATTACTACTTATAGATTTCTGCTGCTGCTTCCTATTTATAGTTACTAGTACTAATCTATAGGTTTTATTATATATATATATATCGTTTATATCTTATAGTTACTATAGTATATAGGTTTCCACTGCTGTTTCCTATTTACCACGTAGATCCGCCACTTCGTTGTATGTTCTGTGTATTAGGAATTAGTGTAGGGCTTATTTGTGTGTATTAGTGATTGTGTATTAGGAATGCGTGTATTTGTGTGTGAGTGATTGTGTATTTGTGTGTGAGTGATTGTGTTTTTGTGTGTGAGTGATTGTGTTTTTGTGTATTAGTGATTGTGTATTCGAAATCAGTGTATTTGTGTATTATAGTGATTGTGTATTAGGAATGAGTGTATTTGTGTATTATAGTGATTGTGTATTAGGAATGAGTGTATTTGTGTATTATAGTGATTGTGTATTAGGAATGAGTGTATTTGTGTATTATAGTGATTGTGTATTAGGAATGAGTGTATTTGTGTATTATAGTGATTGTGTATTAGGAATGAGTGTATTTGTGTATTATAGTGATTGTGTATTAGGAATTAGTGCATGTATGTGCGTTAGTAAG